AGGGATAATTTTACCTCCTCGATGCCTATTTGGATACCTTTTATTCCCTTCTCTTGTCTTATTGCTATTGCTAAGATTTCCAAAACAATATTGAATAAATCACCTCTTTTATTCAATATTGTTTTGGAAGAAAAGTTACTTTGTGCATCTGCGGGATATTGGTGGTTCTGTAGGGATCAGAACACCTACATACACCTGTGGTAACCACGACAAGTTTAAATCTGACCAAAGCGCACTTGGAATACACACGAACAATAGTGACTCCAAAAAAGCCAGTTCCAATACAAAAACACTTAGTCCTCTGGACTTTGTCTAATTTCCCTTGGAGGATACTGAGAAAAGTTTATCCCTACTGATGATTGTAATTGTTTTATTATCGGGATTAACAAAAGACATATTGTATAATTTGCAGGCTATAAAAAATATGTTGATCATAGTAGAAAAGGTGGATGAAGACACAAGACAGGCATTGGAAGTACTGCAACGTCACTTGATTCTCTCACACATCAAACAATGGATCGGTCACCACATAGCCCTAGATTTTTTTGTTAGCAGAAAAGAGTGGTATATGAAACTTTTCAGACACTTCTGCTGTTTATGAACATCTCAGGATTAATAGCAGTCCATGCATGTTGTTGTTAGGTGTCATTGAGTTGAATACCACTCATAGCAACCCTATGAACAAAAGATCTGAGCCCTGTTCTATCCTACGCCATCCTCATACTTCCTGACATACAAAAGCCCGCTGCCGCGGTTACCATCTCAGACCACCTGGTTGAGGGTTTTCCTCTCCTTCACCAACCCTCCAACCTTTCCAGCATCATGTCCTTCTCCAAGGAACAGTCTCTCCTAGCAACATGTCCAAATAAGTGAGGTGAAGGCTCATTGTTCTTGCCTCCAAAGAGCAGCCTGGCTGCAAAGCCAAGTTCCTAAGAACTGGCTAGAAATATCTGCGACGAAATTAAAGGTTGACTTCCAGCTATGACTTGCTTTCTACATTTTGCAGGACCATTAATTACTATAGTACTTTTATTAATTGTTGGACTATGTATCTTAAAGTTGTGAATTTTGTTTCCTCTAGGTTGCAGTAAGTTCAAAACAAGATAATGATCCTGAGTGATTACCAGCCTGTCCCACTATAGTCTTTCCACCAGACAGCAGCTACCTTTAGGGACAGATAAGGAGAGGCTTGGTCCTAAACCAGTGGACAGGCCTACGCCCAACTTTCAGCAGGAAGTAGCTAGAAAGATCTCCACAGACTGCTGGAAGAATTAGGGCTGAATACCTCTCAGAAGGGAAAAGTTAAGGGCTAGAATTATTACTTGGTCTCTCTCACTCTCAAGGAGGGCTGTCATCTCTCTCTGGAAAAGGGAAAGAAATTATTGCACTTGCATCAATATGATAGTATTTCTGACAAGAATCAAATGGTGGCTATATTAGGAAGTAGCCCTGTCTTCCCAGCCAATCACACAGGTCCCTAGATGGGGCTGAACAAGACCAAGCCTCTTGAGATTGGGAATCAATAAACGCAGTGCCCACCTGGGAATCTGCCTCTCTCTTCTCTCTCCTGCTGCACAGCATAAGATTTGGGTTCACCCCTGTTTTTCCAAGGGGTCCTTTGCCCCCCCTTCCTTTTTCTTTTTTTCATGTTAACTCTTATGCCTGACCCATGTTTTTCACTAGCTATGCTATGCCTCTGTTTTGTTGCCTTAATAAACCTTCCCCTCGCCCCACTTGTTTTGCTAAATTGCCACTGTGTGTGTAACTGTTCGTTTAACTACAATCATCTGAACTCTCACCCCATGGCAGGAAATAGGAAATGATGAAGAGAGAAAGAGGACTCTGGTTTTAGCACATTGCCGTGCTTTTGGTTTCCATCTCGGAAAAGAAAAAACAAAAACCAAAACACAAAAACAAAACAAAACACAACACCCAAACACCAAAATCAAAACTCATTGCCCTTGAATCTGAGCTCACATAAGCATGACCCTGCATTAGATTTCAGAGTTGTCAAGCGTAGGGGAGTTTGACAACTTCCTCTGAGCAGACACTGGGCTGCTGGAATCAAAAAGCTTTAGGGTAGCATCGCAACTCAGTGGGCAATAGTGCTCCCAGATTTGCCCCAGTTCCCCTGAACACCTCTTGTCTTTGACACTCTTACCCTCAGAGGGATCCCAAAGGGCTGTTCAAAGTCCATTTGAAAGAACATGCAAAAAAAAGGCAGCCTCGGGGGCCCTGGTGGGTAGTTTTTTGGACGCCGATTTCTGAGGTAATCCAAAAAGCACAGAAAGATGAAGGCGGCCAGCAGCAGAGTCTTGAGATGCAGCCCTGCCCAGAGGGCAGCGGCCAGGGAGCCCAACGCTGCCAGCATAGCTGGAAGCAGGTCTGCTCCCGGGTGTCCTGCCGGTGTAAAGATCTCTGCCTGTTTGGTCCCCTCCCAAGTCCTGCCCCGCTCTTAGCACAGTTTCCGGGCGCCTCTCTTCCGACTGAGGCTGGGAGTGCAGTGGGGGTGTAGAGAAGTGGGGAGTAAGGCTCACACACCCATCTCATAGCACCACGCAGCTTCTCTCAATTATCCTGCCCAACATGGAACCTTTCTCTGCAGCTCCAAGTGCGACAGCTTCCGAGGTGTTAGGTGTGTCAATTCCAGAACTAGATTCCTGGATGATCTTCTACCTAGAACTGAAAAATAGGCCTTGGAAAGAGCTATTAAAGTGTTTCCCCCTCTAGCTACAAAGCTCACTTCTCTCACAGCGATACTATGAACAAAAGATCTGAACTTTGTTCTATCCTATGTCATCCTCACACTATCTGACACACAAGAGCCCACTGTAGCAGTCACTTTGTCAGTCCACTTGGTTGAGGGTCTTCCCCTCCTTTGCTGACCCTCCATCATCTCAGCATCATGTCCCTCTCCAAGGAATAGCCCCTCCTAGATGCCCAAAGTATGTGAGGTGAAGCCTCATCATTTTTGCCTCCAAAACACACTCTGGCTGCACCCTGTCCAAGACATACCTGTTTGTTCTCTTGGCAGTCTGTGGGATGTTCAGGGCTCTTCTCCAACACCACAGTCAAAGGTGTCACTTCTTTTTCTGTCATTCTTATTCATTGTCCAGCTCTCAGATGCACAGCAAGTGATTGGAAAGACTATGGCCTGAACCAGATGCACCTTAGTCCTCAAACTGTCATCATTACTGCTCAATAATTTGGAGTGGTCCCTAACTGCAGATTTTCCCAGTGCAATGTGTCTCCTTATTTCTTGACTGCTCGTACCAAGGATGTTATTTGTGGATCCAAGCAATATTTCAATTTCTTCTCTGTCCATCACGATGTTGCCTATCTATCCAGTGGTAAGAATCTTTGTTTTCTTGACATTGTGATGTTTTCCATAGAGAAGATGACATTCCTTGATCTTCTGCAAAAAGTACTTCAGGTCCTCACTTTCCGCAAGCAAAATTTTATCATCTGCATAATGCAAGTTATCAATGACTCTTCCTCCAATCCTGATGCCAAACTCCCCTTCATAGAGTCCAACTTCTTGGATAATTTGCTCAGAGTACAGATTGAATAGGTAAGAAGAGAGAATATAACACTGATACACTTCCTTCTCAATTTTAAACCATACAGTGTTCCTTGCTCTGTTCGCACAACAGACTCCTTCCTGGTCCAGGTATAATTTCTGCATGAGCACAATTAAGTGCTCTGGGATTCCCATTATTCTCAATATCAGCCACAACTTGTTATAACCCACACAGTCCAATGCCTTTGCATAGTCAATAAAACATAGACATTCTTCTGGTATTCTTAACTTTCAGCTAGAATCCATCTGACATCAGGAACGGTGCCAACGCCTCTTCTAAATCCTGCATGAACTCTGACAACTCCCTATCTACATACCATTCTAGCCAACTGAGTGTAGAAACTATTGAACAGTATTATTAATATCGCATGCAAGCAAAGGCCTGCTGAATCTTACATGGATTAATTTTATCAAAATTGTTGTTGTGTGCCATAGAGTCATCTATGACTCATAGTGATCCTATGTACAAAAGCTCTGAACCTTGCCCTATCCTCAGCCAATCTCTCTGACTCTGACAAACCTAACCCTATTGCCCCAGTAATTTCTTCCATCTTCTTTTTTATGCTTCCTGGATCATTTAATATTATGCCCAAAGCATTCTTAAGTATTGCAACTTGAGGCTTGAATTTGTTCTTCAATTCCTTCAGCTTAGGTAATGCTGAGAGAGTTTGGTCCTTTGATATTCTGACTTCAGCTCTTAGCACATTTAATTATACTACTTTGCTTTGCCTTCCTGTGCGGCCCTTTAAAATAATACTGTTCAATAATTTCCACATTCTGTTAGATCACCCTTCTTGGCAATAGAAACAAATAAGGATCTCTGCTAGTCAGTCAGCCAGGCAGCTCTCCTCCAAATTTCCTGGCATAGATTTGGAGAATTTTTGTGCAACCTCTGATGTCAGGAACAAGCAGACCAGAGTAAGCACCATCTATTAAAATTTGAACTTTACCTAACACCATCCAATTGAAGAAGCTGTGGAGTCAGGCTATCAACTACTCATGAGCAAGATCAAATTTAAGCTAAAGAAAATAAAAACAAATCCACAATAACCAAAATATGACCTTGAGCCTATCTCATTTGAATTTAAAAACCATTTTAAGAGCAGATTTGGGGCATAAAACATTACTAAATGGTAGCCAGATGAAATGTGGGATGATATCATCCATGAAGAAGGCAAAAGGTCATTAACAAAGAAACAGAAGAAAAGACCAAAATAGATTTCAGAAGAGACAATATTTACAATAGAATGCTGAGAAGCCAAACAAAGGGAAAAAACTATTAAGTTAAAAAGTCAAACAGAATATTTCAAAGGACAGTTCACGAAGGAAGGTAAAGTATTATAAGGAAATGTGCAAACAGCTGGAGTTAGAAAATCAAGAGCAAAGAACTCACTCAGCACATCTTAAGCTAAAGAAACTAAAGAATAAATTAAAGTCTCAAGTTAGAATACTGCAAACTGTTATGAGCAAAATCTTGAATGATTCAGGAAAGGACCAAACAAAGATGGAAGAAATACAAAGAGACACTGTATCAAAAAGAACTACCTGACAGAGAGCCTTTTCAAGAAGTAGCATATTATCAAGAATAATGGTAATAAAGAAAGAAGTTTAAGTTGCTCTGAAACAATTGTAAAAAAAAAAAATAAGCCCCCAAGAATTGATGGAATACTGTGCTATTAAAGACTTAGTGTTCAGAGGCTTTCCTATCCACTGAATTATTTTACTTTGGATTGGTTAGTGTCACTAATTCACAAAAAGATTGACTAATCTCCTCATTAAATTGAGCAGAGCCAACAGAATATGAGAGCCTTACCATTAGCAACAAAGAAACAAAAGAATGCAATATGTATTTTAGACCCAGAGATTCTTGCAGCAGTCATATTAGGGCCTATGGAAGCAGCAGCCCTAGCAGTCACAGTGGAAAACCAGAGACCTGACATGGGAAAGAACAATCATGGGACTGCAACCCACCCAAACCAGAACTAAGAGCCTTCAGGCAAATCTGTTGGAGGACCGGATGGTGAGAGTGGTGTGACGAGTAGGGGGAGCCATAACTGGCAGGACTGGGAGATTTATAACACTAGCCTAAAACTTGGTACTGTAACCCACCCAAAACAGAAGATCCTTTGAACAAGTTTGTTGGAGGACTAGTGGATGGGAGTGTGGAAGGCGGGTGGTGAGTAGAGGAGCCATAATTAGCAGGACCGAGAGATTTGTAGCACTAGCCTAAAGCTACAAGGCCTAAAGCTGAGGCACCTGTTAGCACATTTCAGAAGCTGTCCGATTTTACTCTGTGACTACCTGAATTATATTCTTTTGAATCTCCTTGTATTGTTCTGTGTGGTCTAGAATCCATCATATTGGATCTTTGGACCAGTAAAGCAGTAACTCAGAGTTTGCTGTGACACTGAACCTTGTGCCATTGGGATTTCAAATGCCATATGGAACAATTGCGCCATAGAGACATCAAACACTCTAATGACTGTCCATCGTGGGCAGCGTTTGGTGGAGCTCCCAGATTGATTCAGGTTTGGAAGTGGGAGCGGCATCTACTTCCTAAACCACATGCTTCTGGAAAATCTGTGAACTTGGAAAAATAATGATAGTTCTAGAGAGTCTTAAGGCCTTTTGTATATACACTGCCAACCCAAAGGTACACAGTTTGAATCCACCAGCTACTCCTCAGGAGAAAGATTTACTGCCTCTGAAAACCCCATGAAAGTCAACTGTGGGACGGTACTTACTTGATGGTACACAACAAGAACATTCACAGGTTCCAGAGATGAGAGGTTAGATAGAAAAAGAGCTGAGAGAAGAGAAGTAGCAGCTGGTTCTAAGTACTGAACAGGCCTTGATAAAGTGGGCTCAGAGGGACAGCGGGTGACTTCATGTAGAGATCAGAATGGCATGCAGGCAGACAAAGGTGGATTCCTTTTATAGGGGCTGTTAAGGAGATTGAGAAGGGATGGTAGTTTGCTGGAGAAGTTAGGGGTAAGGGCCTTACCAGGGTGTGTGTGATGAGGGCTGGTTAGTAGGGAGGCCTTATTTGGATATGGTCAAGCTTCATCAAGTTATGGTCAGGTCTGAGGCTAAGTGTTTAGGAGGGGTGGGAATGGTCATCTTTGGGGGCCATTCTGTCTAGCACAAGTGGAAGAACGATGATGTTTTGGTGTGGGATGTGAGTTGTCAGCGGCTAAAGGAAGCATGGATGGCCAGTGGCCAGAAAATCCCATGAACAGGCAGTGTGGGGAGTTGTCAGCTACCTTAGCTTCAAAATGACTCCCCATTTGTGACAAGGAAGCAGTGATCAAGCCTAGAAAGAAAATTTTTTTCCACTCTTAGCTTTGTCTGTTGTCTTTTAACTTTAATATTTGCAATACTGAGGAAGCAACCTAGATAGTCTTTCAAGGGGAAAAAAAAATCATTTTAATTGTTGTGGAATGTTGGGGAGGAACGGAAGGCCTCTGGCTCGGATGGGTCCCCTGAGCTCCAGACAGGTGCAAGCCTCCCAATGGCCTTTAACACAGGGTCGAGCAAGCTCCCCTGTGTTTGGCTGTACCAGCTCGAGAAAGCTTGCCACCTGGGACAACGGCTGCCGCGTCTGTTGAGCCGGGAGTGATCTGCATGAGGCTGAGGTTCTCCTGACTGATCCACATGTCCCACATCTGTAAGCCCACCCTATCCTGTCTTCCTGAGTATATAAGTGCAGTGCTTATCCCAATAAAACCAAGCTGGATTGACCCTCTGATCCTCTCCTGGAGTAGTGTCTCCGTCATGCTTACTCCCATCAG